CCCCCCCCCCCCGGCGACGAACACGTCTGGCTGGCTGGCCCTCGCTCTCACCATGACGTTGCCCATCGTGACGTCGTCCCCAGAGAGCTAGGCAATTTGGACGCAGGGGGTTGTGAAAAATGAAATCCTACTGTCCAACAATCGAAGGCATGTCTCATGAGCGGGGAATTAGCACTTCAAGCCCCTCGGAACATCATCATTTTTAGGAATATCCCCGATTTCACGTTCCGAGCAGCATCAGTTGATGTCCGCGCCTAATCGGCGTTCTGGCCCTTTGAACGCCGGACAGGGAGGAAAGCTGCGCTATCACATCTGCTCGGCTGTTGCAGGCGGTTAAATAACCTGCCACTTTTACCAAGCAGGAGAGTTTTTCCCGCTCCCCACATCGTCGTTGGCAGACAACAGCCAGCATCGCAGTATCGGGGGATTCGGAGGCTCAACGGAAAAAATATATGTCTACCGATTGTAGTCTACGTACAGTCGAGGGACCCTTTTAGTGCCGGTACGTGCACAGAGCGTTCACCGGCACTAAATCGGGCACCCGGCACTATTGTGAATAGTGCCAAAACGGCACTATTGAGGGCTGGCCAATCCCTCATTAGTGCCGGTACCGGCACTAATGAGGTTGTGTTCGATTTATGGTGTAGCGCCCACGCTTACGGGGCCAACAAAGAACGAAATGGATCAACACTATTATTACTGTACTGTTGAGTGAAGTTCCAGCATGGGCGTGAGCAGAGTTGAGTTTTCTTTTTGTTGTCTTGGGGCGCTCTTTGGTTCTTCATTTTCTTCTGCACCTCACTTATTTTCTTATTTGTGTACTGTCGTCGGGACAAATTCTCTCCTGTTTGCCTGGCGCACCCGCTTCGATGTTGCAAGAAAAAAAAAATGACATGCACGACGGGCAGCGCACCGCAAAAATCAAACAACCGTTTTTTTAGTGCCACAGCTGTTCCCCGCCCTTACTCCGTAGCAACAAACTCCCTCATGTCTGCCTGGCGCACCCGCCTCTTGGAATGCGCTGCAATCATCGCCATCTTCGCTTTCGCTAGGTAGAGCGCCGCGTCTCCATTGCCGCTCTCCTCTGCTGCCGCTTCCAGGACGCCGAAGTGAGACGACAGTTCACCATAAGCCGGTGGGACACGGCGCGCGAGCCCCGTGTTGTCATCGCCGCTGTCCTCCTCCTCGTCCTCCTCCTCGCGGCCGGTAGACACTCGAGTCCCAGCCAGCTGTGCCGTCATGTCTTCCACCGTATCCTCTCTGAGAGCCTCAACCACTTCATCGTCGTCCTCGATGGTAGCCCACCCTTGAATCGCGTTCACCGCTTCCTCCAGGAGCGGCTTTCCGGGTTCGATGCGGAGTTCGGCGATGAGTTCGGCGATGTCCTCGTCCTCGATTTGGGTACCCTGCTTGTGCGCCTCGTGCACGCTCGTGCTCAACGTGTTGAGAGTCTCCGTGAGAGCCTTCAAGGTAGGCTCGGCGACGTGGAACTGGGACTTTCCGTGTTGCTTGGTGAGCTCAGCGGCCATCTCGTCCGGAAGAGTCTCGGCTTTGACAAAGCACCTGATCCCAGGTAGCGCAGAAAATGTCATGCATACGTTTGTGGGTGGACAACAAGCGGATGTTAGATGAACCCAGGGACGATCAAAGACTCATAGGCGGGGGAGGACTCAAGTTTTTGCGAAAAGCAAAGAAGATATGTATTCGGATGTTGGAAAACTCAGTCGAAAACAATATAATCTATCCGTACAACCTTACCCACGTTACCTTTGTACCACCAAAGCTATGTGCACCAAGGCGCGAGTTGAACAGTTTACATTATAAACAGCGATTGCACATGCTCAAACCTCACCTGGCGATGTCCTGGGCGGTGACGCTGGCCCATGCTTTCTGGAGAAGTTCAGCGGCATCCCGCACGTGAGGTTGGTGCCCTTGCGCCAGCCCCATTGTCCCGGCCTTCATTTTGCGAGCTTTGGCCTCGGCACGAAGGGTGTCAGCCACCAACATGGTCGATGTCTTCACATCGAGCAGCTCCTTCCTGTAGTTGCACTTTGTCTCGGCGATGATCCCCAGATCCATAGGCTGGTGTACGGAGGTGCAGTTTGGAGGGTAGAACTTGATGGTAACTTGCCCCCGATCATCCACTAGATCACCGTGAGAAGCACAGCCGTCCATCAGAAGCAGCACAGGTTCGTGAGTGAAGCGCCGAACGAACGGGAGGAAGACCTCACACCACCACTTGCGGAAAGTCGCGGTGTCGGACCAGGCGTTGGCCTGCGAGAAGTACTTGAGAGGTGAAGGCGTGTCGTTGAAGCAGCGGGGACCCTTTGCCTTCCCGATGATGGACATGTCAACCTTTGCAGTGCCGTCGGCATTGGCGCACATGATGGCAGACAGTCGATCCTTGAAGAACATGCCCTTGGAGCCCCGCGCCGTCTTCCGATCCTCCAAGTTGGAGAGGTACGTGCGCCTGGGCATGAGCTTCCACTGGAGGCCTGTCTCGTCGACGTTAAAGATGAGCCTAGCCGGGTACTTTGCGCAAAGGGCCTTGAGTTCCTCCATGGCTTCCTTGATGGCCTCCTTGTTGACGCTACCAGCCTCGCCATGAAGTCTCACGCTGTCGATGCTGTTGCGCTTCACGAAGTTCCTGGCCCACCTTTCGCCGGCCTTGAAATCCTCGACCCTCGCCTTCACTTCCTTAGAAGCTGCTGGATCAGCCAGCAGGGTTGCCCTGGCGGCACGGCCGAAGCTTCGAAGGACGTCGCGCGTGACGGGCATCTTGGTCTTCCGGGCTTTCTCTAGTAGGTCAAGAGCTATGGCGTCCACCTATTGACCGTCAAACGAGGAGTAAACAATAAAGAGGGTACAAAAGATAGCACGATTAGTTTCGAACATTAAGCCTCGTTGCACAGTGCATCGTAGTGGGAAGGAAACACTTCCGGGCATTTGAAAAACCACAGAAGCTCGCCGCTACATCCGCATGTGTATTTATTTATTGTAACTCGTTTGAAAGAATAGGTGTGCGTGCGATGTAATGTACCAGTACAGTACAAACAAGTACACATTTTTGGTTCGCAGTTTATATGCTGGCGCAGCAGCGCACGAACGATAAAACAAGAAAGAAAGTTGAAAAAAAAGGTAACACAAAAAAAGACACAAACGAACGACGAGAGGGAATAAGCTCAACAAGTACTGTAACAGTCGAGAAATAGAAGAAACATGGGGAAAGGGAACAGAGAACAGGGAACGACTTGACAAGAGAAGAAGAAAAAAGAACAAGAACATCAGATAGACGAACAAGGCTACAGAAAAAGGTCCTTGCAAAAACGAAAACTCTTTGCAAGCAAGGCCCGGCAAAAAAAAAAAGGCAAAGAAGGCGCGGGAACTACGCGTATTTTTTTAAAACAACAGCAGAGTAGCGCACCTCCGGATTATTGCCTGTGCGCACGTTTTTCTTGCTTCCTCCGCGTCCTGCAGCAGCCTCGGTCTCGTACTTCTTCCTGTTCTTCTTCACATCCCGGACCAACCGTTCCGAGCACTTGAAGCGATCTGCTAGCTGCTCATGAGTCACCTTCTGATCCATCAGCTTCAGCATCTAACACTTGGCGCTGAAATCTGGCTGCGCACGNGCACGTGTACCCTATTTCTGTGTATGGAGTCTATGTTTTCTGCCCTGGGTTGTGCGTGTGTGTGTTTCGCGCGTGCGGAGTACCGGCACTATTGGGGGTGACAGCAGTGCCGAACCAGCACTATATCGGGCATGCTTTAATTAGTGCCGGTCTGGCACTATTGAGAGCTCCGCCTGTGTGCAGAGATTTTACCGGCACTATACCGGGCATTTGGCACTATTCAACCGGCACTAAAAGGGTCCCTCGACTGTATATATATATATGTTCCACGACACACTAATAAGTCGTTATTACGGCCTACATGTATGTACGGCCTACATGTACTTGTGACGCCGGTTGCGCTACTCGGTCATGAGACGCATAAAAATCAATCGGCTCCCAAACAGCGCTGTACACAGGGGTTGGTTCGCTACCAACAGGCAGCAGGCAGGAGGCATCTCAGTGAGTGAGGGACACAACCTGCCAGACAGAGACGATCGATGATGAACCTGTCTGTCTCCAAGAACACCAATTGAAATAAATAACGGGAGGGCCGCACACGGCCAAGAAAGGTTAATAATGCAACTGTATATGTTGTATCCCGCCTGAACGGCGTCATTCGAACCACCCCCCGGGAGAGAGTAGAGCTTGGGTACGTATAGACTAGATAGATGGCGAGAATCCTACGGGCATCTCGAGGTCACAACCATGCGCACAAACTTCGAATTCCCTTGCAACAAACATCACATACATGTGCAACAACAAAACAACACAACAACCAGACAGACAGCAAGAGAGGGTCCAAACCCCCCCTGTGTGACTCCGGTTGGTTCGTCTAGCTGGTAGAAGTGGACGATAGGGGCCAGAGGGGCAGACGACAGAGTCCAATGATGAAAAAACAAACAAACACAGATTACCTTCCACAAAACAAAAACGTAGGGCTAGGTACAGGGAAGAACTGCCCAGATTCTTGTCAAAATGAGCAATATGAGGATCAGAATCATGGTAGCGAAACCAGGGAGGATAATGGTGAAAGTACTCCGAAACGAACTACAGATGGCGCCCGCACTTGAGACTAAGAACCTCTAGTTTCGGCCGAGGCTGGGGTTCTTGTTTTGCTTATCATCCTCTTGTTGTGGGCTACAACGGCCGCTATTATAGTCAAGTACTAGTTTTTTTTTATAGTGTGGGGTTCTTGAGCGAGCTCACAACAAATGGTTGGTGCTCAATCAAGTTCTTAGCTTCTGATTTTTTGCGCGTCTCAATTTTTTCTTAACTGCTAAGTCCTTAAGTGCGGGCGCCATTTGTAGAGTACAAGGGGGCCTTTCGGGGTATGCCGAAGTGAGGTTGAGAATGGAGTTGTTGCCAAACAGCCTAAGCTCTGAAAAGTCAACTGTGGGTTGCTCTGGGTGTGTACATGCGATATCCGGTCTCAGATTTTTTATCCGGGGTCGGGAAGGTGAGTTTTCAGCGAAAATTGGCGATTTATCTTACTCAATGTATAGGAAAAAGCGAAGCCGGGGACACGAAATTTCCGTCCCCCCCCGGGGACAAAACGGGGATTTACCCATAGCTTGGCCTATTTGAGTGCTTTTTTGACCACTGTTCCGGAAACAAAATCCCTACAGCTTGTTCCGAATGTATAGGAAAAAGCGATACAGGGGACACGAAAATTACGTCCCCCCCCGGGGACAAAACGGGGATTTTCCTATATCTTGGTCAATTTGAGTGCTTTTTGGACCGCTATTCAGCTACAAAAATCCCTGCAGCTTGTGCCAAACACACGGGGAAAAACGAGACAGGGGGCACGACAATTCCGTCCCCCCCCGGGGACAAAACGGGGATTTGCCCACATATTGATCGATTTAAGTGCTTCTACTCTTCACGGTTGGCAGTCAACACATAATCACTAGCCCAACTCCGAGAACCTCCTCTTCGCAATGCGTACGCGCCCTCTTGAGCTTACGTATCTCTCTTCCTCCCTCTCCTCTTCCTCCTCCTCCTCCCCGTCCTCCCCCTCCTCCCCGTCCTCCTCCTCATCCTCTTCCTCCTCCCTCTCCTCCTCCATCTCCTCCTCCCCATCTTCCTGCTCCCCCATGCTCTCGTCAAGCGTCGGACTAGGCATGGGGTTGGGAGTAGGCGCCACAGGAGACTCGTCCGAAGATATCACCGGAACAATACCGCCGGTCAATTGAGTCCCAAACGTGCGTCTCCCAACCTTCTCCTTTCCCGACTTCTCGATCACCTTGACAACCAAGTCGGGGTACACCTTCGCTACCATGCAGTAATCGTAGCAGCCTACTCGGCAAGTCGAGCAGTAGCACGATGCGCCCCGAACCCGCAACTTCCAAGATCTGGTGAAGTTCTTGGGGGCGGTCCATTTCCTCGCCCTGGACTCGTCTACCACCCACTTCCTAGCCGTCAACACCTTACCTCCGGCCGCTTCCACCCCAGAATCGTCTGTCTGCACCCCCACACTTGTAGCCCACACAAGACTACAGGTATCCTGCACATCCTCCTGCTCCTCCTCTGTTCCCGTGAAAAAGTATAGCTTGGAACTTCCAGGGATCCCCGTCAGATCTATCGGTGGGCGAGGAATTCCTTGGGGCCAAACTTCCTGACTTCGAAGCTCTTGATCCGGTAAGGGGACCAGGTTGTGAAGTGGCCTTCACGCGCCTTGTCCGCCTCCGCGGCGTAGCCTAGCAGAAACTCGTGCGCGACGCAGCAACTTGCCTGAATTTCCTGTTGCACGGGAAACGTCGTCGGAGTGCCAAAAAGCCTTGGCGAGAGCCATTACCTCGGGATTCGTCACGTCACTCCGTGTCTTGCGCTCGTTATACACGTAGCACCCGTCACTCACAGCGTCCCTGGGGGCGATGTCGTGGTTCGTGTTGTGCATCCGCACACGTGCGTCGCTGAAAGTCTCGTACCGAATGCCGAGACTCTTGGCTCGCTCGGCAAAGCTCACTCCACCAGGCTCAGCGGGCTTGCACCGGTTGCCAGGGGGGCACAGGTTGGGGTCAGGACACGTGTGCTCCCCCGCTCCCGCTGCTGTGGCGAGCGCTGTCGTGTACGCGGTCCACCCTATCGAGCTGTTGCTGTGCCGCTTCAGCGCTTGGAGCGAGGCACGGAGCGCGCGAGTGTTCGCCGCGTTGACCGCCGCCTCCTTAGCTGCTGCCTGGTCTGCAGCGCTCGCCCCCAGCATGACCCGTACTCGCTCCATCAATACGTGGTCCTTCTGGGTCAACTCCAGCGCGCTAGAGCGACGCTCCTCCGAACCCTGCGTACATGTATCAGGAGTTGTTGGAGTCGGGGGAGGGTGTGTGTAATATTCGGCAGGAGTCATCCTTAGGGTGGGCCAACAACAAATGCCACACGTAGAAGAGTGACTGCAGCGTGTACAACAATGATCCCATGAAACTTTTCATGCGCTTTCTACGCTAACATCACGAAGTCGTGGAATGGAGATCAACCTCGGGAGCACGAGCAACAGAGGGCCGTGCGTACCAAAATTCAAATACAGTCCTCACCGCTTTACAGACACTCTTTATAATTTAAAGACACTTTCCCGCGTTGAAGACACTCGAAAAAAAAAACGTGGTGTGTCTTTAAAGCGGGGACGACTGTACTGACTGTACAGTTTAAATTGGAGCGGCACGAATTGGAACCAAGAAGTACAATTGTAGTCCAAGCATTTCAACAGCACTTCAGCAACCCAAAACCTCACCTGCTCCTCGCGCAAAACCTCTGGGGTAGCCCCGCTTCTCGTCCCGCCATCGTGAGCCAATGCGAGAGGGTCGGAGAGAGCTGCGTCCACCCCCTTGCGCTTCCCCTTCCCCGCAGCAGCAGCAGCAGCAGCAGCAGCGGCAGCCTGCTGGTTGCCGCGCTTGATGCTCGTTCTTGGATGGCTTCAGCATGCTCTCTACCCTTTTCGCGGAGCTGATCTTCATCAGCAACTACAGAGGACAACTTACTGCCAGCTGCCTTGGTGGTTAGCAGTATCCCGCGGTTGTGCTTCTTCCGGTGCTACCTTACTACCCTCTTTTCCCCGCGGACGTGGATTATGCGGTCTACAAGCATGAGACTGCAACGAGCCACGGCCAGGCCCGATTCGGCACGACCGTAGATGTTGGAGTTTAGGGCTGATGACCTCGAGGGTGGTGTCCTCTGTATGTAATTCGACCAAGCGGAGTCGATTGCCGTGGAGAACGAGGCATGAGTCGTCCATGTTCATGGTGAAACAGGATGCGCCACATCGCTTGTCTCGAAAAATGTGTGGAAGAATTATTTGTTTTTCTTCGTTTTTTTTTCTTTCGGTTGGTCTCGCCGAAACGGTTCTAGAACCGGTCTCCTTTTTCCCTACATGAGAAACTCCAACATCTACAGCATTCTCCCCCATTTGCCGGAAGGCCCCCAGGGCCAATCGGTTGGGATCTCTGCGACAACGACAGTAATGAGGGTAATTCTTGTGGAAGTGACGGAGACGAAGGAAAGAGAAGCGAAGAAAGGAGGACGGAGACGACGATGAAGGAGGAAAACATGGAGGAGTGGAAGAGAGCAAAGGGCTTGACTACCTCATCCTCGGCCATAGCCTCTTGGTACTCTGCCACTGGATACTCGAGGCTTTCCACAATTGGCTGCCTTCCACCCCCCCTCCTGACCGTTCCATTCCGGGTCTCCATACCCACCAAGACGGATTTGTTTCTAAACTTCCAACATATTCCGCCCCTTCTCAAAATGAATGCTCACGTAATGCTTGCCGTGCTGCCAGAACAGCTCGATCGGCTGGAAAGTCGGCATGTACGGCGGTGTCCAAATTAACCCCCACCCCTTCTCCCTCATGTACGTCTCAGCCTTTTCCTCGAGCTTTTGGGGGAAATTCTTTTTGAAGTACGTCCGAGTGACGGAGGCTATCTCTTCTTTGCTAACGCCGTTCTTGCGGTTCGCATTGGGTAACGACCCCTCCGCCGGCACCTCAAAGTTGTACTCAGCAGCCATACCCTCCGACTCACGTGTCACCTCGAACGCCGTGTAACCGTACTTCCGCAAGAGTTCGACGTTGTACTTCTTACTGTTGGTTTCGGGCACCTTGAGCTCCTCGTCAAAGCAGTGGTGGTATGAGGCGTTATCGAGAACGAGAAACATCTTCTTGTTCTTGAACTGCGCATCGAAGGCCGGGGTAAGTCGGTGCTTCAACCACTGCATGAACGTCCCATCCGTCATGGCGTCATGATATTCTCCAGTTGCCAACTTGGCCTGCCACAGAAATTTTGCTGTCTGCTCATCTGACAATTCCGAAATCCGCCTCCCCAGGCTCAATCTTCTTCGCACGATTTTCCTTAGCCTTGAACCAACCCTCACGGATAGGAAATCCCTCCTGTAGCTCGGCCAAGGGCCCGTGCTTCGTGATCGCATGCACCATGATCATACGCAAACCTTTCCCCGTTGTACGGCCTATCCCATCCTGCACAACCCCCTTATCGTCAGAAGGAAAGTACGAGTACGCGGAACCATGCGCCTGGTGAACAAAGCTCTCATCCATGTACACAATGACTGCGACCCCAGCGTCCTCGGCCCTCTTCGCGAGGTCCATCTTAACAAGGAAGAGGCGGATGCGGTTTTTCCTCTCCTCGTTCAACGGGGGTATTTTGATCCTACCCCTACGGCGCTTGAAGCCAAGGCGCTGCAGCAACCCTCCCACGGCACGATTCGACATCTCTAATCCGAACGAACACTCCAAGTAATCCTTGACGGTACGGCGGAAGACCTGACGTCCCGCCTCGTGCTCGCCCTTGATGAACTCGTTCAGTCCATCCTCTGTCTCCTTGGTGATGACACGTCGCCCGTCGTCGACGCTGTTGGCCTTGCCTCGCCCCTTCCCGTTGGTCTCGTACAACTCCTGCTTGTCATACCAGAGTGTGCGAACCGCCAGGACCTTGTCCGTACCGATCCTCAAGGTCTTTGCGACTTGATAAAGAAGGGTCATCCACACAGAGGGAGGGTGGGGAAAAGTTTGTAGAGGGAGAGTGGGAAAAAGTTTGTAAGAATATAGCGTGTATTGCGTTGCAGTGTATTGCGTTGGTGTACAACAGCCGGTATTAAAGGGGCGGCAGAGTGTGGATAACCGTACAGCGCACGCGAGGAGAATGGTGGTGCCATGCACATGCATACATTCCTTTACATTCAGCGGTACAAAGCGCTGCTGTAACTGCTGTACTGGTACACTGCTGTACATCTGGCAGCATACCGTTATATATGCCACTCAAGTATTGTACAGCAGTAATGGGCATCAGCACAGCAGTGCAAGCAATGTGACCATGGGCCGGCAACAGTACTGGCATGATGCACAATATGTTGCGTAGGGCTGTATCAAGCACTGCTGTTGCTTGTCCCAAAATCTTGGGTGGGATGAATTATACATCTACAACTGTACCAAAAAAAGCACGTGGCACTCTGCACTGCACACGACATGCGTCTACATACTGGTTGTACGCAACAGCCATGTTTCTTGGTTCTAACCTGCTCCTTTGCGTGGTTCTCAGAGCTGTCTCATTTCACCAGGTCGAAGTACAGCATGAGAATCATCCGCGACTGCTGCAGGGTAGGGTGGTGAGCTCGCCAGTCTTTGGCCTCAGCGATTGCACGGAGTCCTCGACAAACTTCAGCGCGAGAGGGGGAAGCTTGGAAGTCGCCGCTTCAGCAGCCTTGCTGACACGATCCTGCTTTCGCCGTTCACGCTGCTGTTGAAGCACGTCCAACCTCGCGATGTCCCTCGCGAGCTTCTCCCTATCCCTGGCCGCTGACGCCTTCATGGCTTTCACCTCTTCTTCCTTGGCCGCGAGAGCTGCTTGAGCAGCGGCTGTGGCCGCCTCTCTCTTCTCCATATCATCCAGGAGATTGTTCGTAGCCTTTGCATTTCTCGCGGACGCAGCGTTGGCCCTCTTGATCGCTCTAGGCGGACGGCCACTGGAGCCATCTGTCGGTACCCGCCTACCACGCTTGGTCATGGTGGGTGCCGGATTGGCTAGGTGCCTGGCGTGGACGGCGAGTAGCTCCACAACGGCTGGCTCAAATTCATTTTTTTTTTGGCGTTGTACCCGATCGTTGAGTTGAGCAGATTGCGACAGGTTCTATTTCAGAACCTAATTTGTTTTCCCGAACCGCAACAAGTATGCCCGCTCGAAAATTGCTGCCATGAAGTGCCTGCTTTTAGCGCCGTTCACTTCGTGCTGTGACTATTCGATGGGCATGAAACCAGCGTTATTCGACAGCTGATGTAACAGGCTTTCTGTTAAACCCGCCCAGTGTGTCTATTGCTTACTCATTGCGTGCAAAAGTTGCAAAAGAGTGTGTTCTTCAATAAACTTTTTTCGGGAGGGGACATTTTGAGATAGTAGCTTTTTCTGTTTTTTTGAGAGAACGGGAAGTGCCCAATTTTGGTCTTGATTGGTGTTGTTGTTGTTGTCTTCACATTAAGATTGGTGTGTTCCACCGTAATACTATGTTTGAGTCATCTAGCTGCTGACACGATGACTGTTGGATCTTGGGAGTGTACGATTATTAGACGACGATCAAATTGGGAGATGCAGCATACATACCACGATATCCTGGCTTCGGCTGGGCTTGAATTACCCCTTTTGCTGTCCTCCGCTCTTTGCATCAGTGACTTCCTAGGTTCGGGCGAGGGCATTTGTGGAGCTATGGCAGTGTATGTGTTGCCATTTTGTTTGAGTCACCTAGCTGCTGACACTTAGGAGTGCACGATTATCAAGTTGGGAGATGATGCAGCGTACCACGATATCCTGGCTTCGGCTGGGCTTTCATTAACCCTTTTTTTTTGCTGTCCTCCGCTCTTTCCATCAGTGGCTTCCTGGATTCGAGCGAGGGCATTTGTGTAGCTGAGATGTGTGCCTGCGTGAAAGAATGTGTAGGGAGAGTCGTATTGGCATTCGCATCTAGCGCATTGCGCATTTTTCGAATTTTGGCCCCCTTCCAGGGACTTTGATTTTTACCCGCTGGCACTGACGTCTTTTAATTGGTCAGCCGGTTAGCGCGGTCGATGATATATAATAATAAAAATAATGATATTCTAATAATATATAAGAACACACACACAAAAGATACTGCTGTATTGTTATTATGTTGGACGTTTAGTTTGTGTCATAATGTTAATGTTATAATGCATAGTCTACTGCTGTATCTACGCATACGGGTGTCTTACATCGGCATTATGCTACTGGGAGCTAATGGTTGAACGTTGAAAGGCTGCCCGGCGTTGTCTCCAAGTAAGTTGGCAGAGTGTCAGCTCTCGGCGTCTCCGGACAATTTCAACCATACATAGAAGAAACGAAAGACATCAGAGAAGATGCTCTTCAAATAGTCTATAATGCTACTGCTGCACCTACCTCCTACCGCTGCGCCGCTGCAGGCTAGCGAATCTCTCGTGAATGTATGTGCATGTGCAGACAACCTTTCATATTGAGGTATACACAACGAAGAGGATGAGTGAGCGGTCTGTACCGCAGCACGATTGTGCAAAAACGAGTGTATGTTGTAGTGCTTGGCTGTGTTTCTTTGCGCGTGGAATAATTGCGTGTCCTCTTGGTCCTCTTTAGGTTTTCACACCCCACCCACGGACGTGCACATACATCATGAAGGATAGGGTCATGAAGCAGCAAACTAACCCTACCTACTTGTTGTAGAGAGGCGCGCGTGTATTTGCTTCAATATGCTTCGTGTAGTCCTAGTTGCTCGACGGCGTGGCGACGAAGTACAAGTGTCGCTTGTTTTGTCCAGAAAGCTGTAAATGCATACATACAGCGGTACATGTAAACAGTTTACACCAGACAAAGGGTACATTCGGGGACTATTTTCACTATTCAACCACCCCCGAAACCCGAGCATTCGAGGATTCCAAACACTCAACAACAGGGGCCTTGGCCATGGCAGCAAAGAATGAGAGCGGGGAATGACGGGCGTGGTATACCGAACAGAGCACCGTCACACCAAAAAACAAGCGGATGATGACCTTTCTTTGCAGCGACCAGTAAAACACACGCACCCCCTACACGACAAACATACAGCAGTAGTAGACCCATCGCTCGATGCGCCCATCCTTAACTCGTCTCGAAGCTTATTAGGAGTGAAACACAACAACCGTGATCTACCGATGAGATAGTCCATACCCCGCTCCCAGTCAACGAAGCGAAATCGACGATAGCATAAACATAGCCTCGGGATACACCTCGAGTTGCACAACGGGTGACGTATGTAGCACCCTCAACGCCTTTCTTTCTCTGACGTACATACTACGACAGACAACCCATGCGAGAGCCGATGCGCGAGATCGTCTTGTGCAGCTCCATGTCCTCGTCGCACAGCTTTATCGCCTCGAGGCACACGCCCATCGCCGCGTACATGTCTCCCTCCCTCTCGTTCGACCAGGCCTCGAACAGCAGGCCGTTCGCCTGCTCCGCCGCCTCCGCTCCCGCAGCACACGAGCACCGGCGACACGTGAAACCGGCGCTCTCGGCAGCCGCCTTGTGAGCCGCGCAGACCGCTGCCGCCGCCGCCGGGGGTGCGAAATGAGCACCATCAGCAGCAGCCGCAGGAGACGATGGGGCTGAAGTAGGAGCGGGAGGGACGGGAGAAAGTTCGGCCGGCGCTTCCTGCAATCCCTTGCTGCCGCTGCGCTGGTCCTTGTCGCACCCTGCTCCTCCGTCTGGGCTCCTGTCAACCCCTCCCCCGCCAGAAGAAGGAGAAGCAATGCATGCCTGCGGTCTGCTTAAACTCCCGACATCACCATCGCCACGTTCGTGCCCCACCAAGCTTCCATCCCCTCCTGACTCTGCCACCACGGCTGCCACCCCGTCCACGTCCTGCGGGTGACTCGAGCCCGCAGTCGCGTAGCTGGACCTCGAACTAGCGCTGCTTCTAACGCTCTGCGGCCAATCACCGCCGTTGCTCCCCCGACCCGCTGCGTCAAGCACTGGCGTGGGATCACCATCACCATCGCCCTTGTTCAGCGTCGGCGTCGCCAACAGAAGGGGGTCCTTCGGGGGCGACTGATCTCCGACGGCTTCGCTCCCCTCCTCCCGGCCGCCGCCGGCGCTCCCCTTTTCCCCGCCGACCAATGGGGGAAAGCAGGAAGAGTAGGGCGCCACGGCATTGCCGTCGTTCCACCTCCTGGTGGTGGTGGTGGTGGTGTCGTCTGCCCTTGCCGTCGGCTCTCCTGGTGCCGCCGCACGAGCGGGGGAGGAAGACGAGTCCACCATCACTATCGCTGACCTAAAGCTTCCGCCCCGGACGGTTTCCTCCTCCTCCTCGGCACCGCACCCATCTTCTGCATTCCCTCCCGTTGATGAACGGTCTACGCCGTCTCCCTCATCGCTCCGTCCTCCGTCGTACAACGTTACCGCCTCCACGCCACCATCCATAGAATCATCCGAGCTACGATAGCCCCCACGCTGTTCCTCCTCCCCTACTTGCACATCACGCGGGTTACACCTTTCCGTGTCATCGACGTCTCCCGAAGAGTACGAGCGGCTCAGACGATGACGGTCGTCACCCCCCATCTCCGCCCCGAAAAACTCCACCGCAAACTCCCTCGCCCTCTTCCTCGCAGGGGAAACCTTCTTCGAAGCATCGCTCGCTCGCCATAAGGTGTCGTCCTCTTCTGCCGGGTCTCCGACGGTGCTTGCGCCGCCGCCACCACCATCGCCGCTACCAGATGAAGAAGACGACGCCACGGGGCTAATACCGAGCTCATCGTTGGCCCATCGCCGGGCTCTCTCTCTGCCGGCCCGGACTGCAGCCGACCCCTCTCCCTCCTCTTCCTCCTTAGCGAAGGCGGGGGACATGCCGCCGCCGAAGTCACCGACGATGCTGCGACCGGACGTGAATGGCGAGGATACCGATGCCGAGTCCCCGGGCTCTTCAATTCCTCCAATCGTCTCTTCCTCCTCCTCGTACCCCATCTCTTCTTGG